CGGTACTGCCGCAGCCTCCCATATCGGTCTCGATCGCCGGATCTGATGACAGGGACATTTTTTTTTAATATAGATTATTTAAAGACACACCAAATTGCAGAAACATCTCCTTTGCTCGACTCCATCTTGATCATCATCACCTGTGCAACAGCGGAGAGCGGCTCCGTCGGCGAGGGGACGAGCGGGAGCGTCGGCGTGGCGACGGGGAACGGCGCCTGAGGGGCGAGCGACTCACCCGGCGGCGAGAGGACGCCGGCGGACTTTTGTCTCGCGAGCGGTCTCGACCCGACCCGGCTTCCACTCGAAGCCGTTTCCTGTGCGGGGTTCACAGAGAGACACTTAAAAACCACAGTTCACATGTAGATTAATTTTCAAGCAAATCAGAGAATGCTATTTATACACCTTCCAGCATAAATACAGTGACAAACTGATCATGTGGGTGACGCTAAGTGTCAACCCCTGGCCAGAAAAAGCCAAAAGGCAACTCTCAGCTTTTCCACGCACCTGACTGGCGACTCCTGCCTCTCCGCTTCTCTCCTCCGGACATCCGGCGAGCGCACCCGCCTGGGCGGCAGTGGCGACCTGGCTCTGGTGCGTTCGGCGGCGCCTGCCGAGGCGTGGCGCGCGTCTCTTAGACGAGGCGAGTTGCTGCGCTTCCGGACGGGGCTGTGCTGCGGCCGTCGGTGCGGCGATCGGTTCTCCTTGCCAGATGACGCATCCTTGGACGGCGACTTGGTCGGTCTTTTGTCTCGCTCGGCATCAGGGCGAGCGAGCCGCTCACGGCCGGGCGACCGGGATCGCGGCCGCGCTTTTTCCTGCGTGTGCCGCTCGTCCCGCTGTGGCGAGGGCCGCTGTTTCTCAGCGCGGGCGCTTTTCTGCTCTGTGGGGGACTTCCTGCTCTTCCCCTTGGACCTGTCGGTGCTGTCTGAATGTTTCCTCTCCTTTGAGGCGCTTCTGGCGCGGCCTCTGTCCTTAACACTAGCATCTTTGCCGCTTTTGCTCACCTTGTCTTGCCTGGAATCCTTGGCGGGCCGCTCCGTGTTCTTGCTGGGGCTGTGGCGCTTGGAAGCGGTCCTGCTGCCCTCTGTGGAGTCCCGTCTGGATTTAGCAGCGACCCCTGCGCGGGGGGATATGCCCTTCCCTGAGGTGCCCCGCTGGCGCTGCTCTCCATTCCTGACGCGGGCTTCGCCGGCGTCCTCTTCCGAGCCTGAGTTGTAACCCTGCAGGATGAGGCCCATGCCCGACTGAACTTTGCCCTCCATCAGCTGACTGTCCAGCTCGGCTTTGATCATGGCCCTCTGCTTCTCCAGGTCCTCCAGCAGCGCCCGGTCATCCAGGCCGGGGTTACCCGAGGAGGGGGAGCTTTCGCTTTTCTTGTGGCCGGAAGCGACAAAGATGGTGGCAGCTGCGGGGGCAGCGGAGGGCGCCTCGCCCTCCTTGTTGCGCTTGTGTTTCCTATGTTTGTGGCGATGCTTGCGCTTGCGCTCCTTGTCCTCCTCCGTGGCGTGCTTGTGTTTCTTGTGTTTGCTGCGATGCTTGTGTTTTTTCCTCTTGTGTTTTCCACCACCGCTGCTGTGCTGCTTGCCGGCCTCCTCGGGCTTCTCGCCGTTGGTCTCAGCCTCCTCCTAGGAGAGAGAACACGATGCAAAGTTAAGATCTGAACAATAAATAAATAAATAAATCGCTGTGACCACAGTGAAATTGTAAGACAATGTATTGTATTGTTTGACAATGGTGCACAACATTCACTACCTCTTCTTCCTCCTCTTCCTCTGACACGTCTCCACTGTCCTCATTGCCACTTCTCTCGTGGCTTTCCATTTCCTGTTTCCTGGTCGTCAAACCACAAAACAATGACACCATGAATGAAAAAATGTTCCGACATTAAATCACCACATTTTGCATCACAAAATCACTTCAACCATTCCTGACAAAATAGAAGCATGACTATAGATTGAGCTTTTGCTTGAAAATAGCTTTTATAGTATTATACAGTAGACGGAGACCAATACAATTTCAGGAAGAATTATCTGCTGATGACCAATTCTTCCCTCACACAAACAAACACACGTAACCATTGGCAACCAAAAAAAGGCTCGTTTTCTTCAGCCCAATACTCCATAACCTTTGCTATATGAGGATTGACCTCGCACTATTTAGATCTTCTCCCATGACCAAAACAAAACACATTAGCTTTTAGTGAAACGGAAGAATGGTTCTTTTCCTTGCTCACTGACAGTAAGTGACGAACATATTGAACTTGAGGGTTTCAAGATGGTTTTCCCACGTTAGCTCCTAAATGCTAAGCGTGCTTAGCAAAGTTTGGCAACATCGCCGGGTACATTCATCGACAAAACCAGATTTGGACAATTCAAACTCATTTCGCGCAATCCACACACATGCCGCGAGTGAGTAGATGCAACACCGGGGGTGATTTAAACCAACGTCTGCTTGACGTTTAGCCAAACTTCATGCTAACGCGGCTAAGCTAAGAACATTAGCGAGTCTTGTCAGCAGTGTTATCCAAACAACACGACTGACGTTCCGCTGTTTAACCTCCCAGATCACTCAGTTTCGAATCAGAAATATGCCCCCGTCTCATAAAAAGTTATAAATATGAACGGACAATGTGAAAGTAAAAGCCTTACACGTGCTCGTTGAAATTATTCATTCTTCTCGACGCGATTTCCATCTCGACGTCGGCCATTTTCCACAACCAAAGGGTTTCTTCTTCTTTCTCGAGATTAGACAGCAAGGCGACTACAGGCGCCCCCTGGTGGAGAAGCGGTACACTACTATTTGCACCACGCGGAATGGTTATGCTTCGCTCTTTCGCCACCAGGATGTGCTAAATACACGAAAGACCAAGTCATAAATTGATCGCTTGACCTGAGACCAATCGCCTCTGGTTTTATATGTGTTATATTTTTTTAACTGCAAACCAGTTTTGTTCCTTATTAAAATGGTCAGTGAGTGAGTGAGGGTCATGTTCAAACTAGAGAAATAGAAATAAAAACACATCAAGTCAAATATAATTTCCATGTTTATTAAAAACAATACAAACATTTGGAGTCAAGTTAAAAAAGAGCTGAGCAAGGGAGTGACCCCACTCGTTGGCTAGGTGGGCTGATGAGGGAGGCCCACCCCATCCAGCGTGGGGCCAGGACACCCCTGGATGTGTTTTTCCCCTTTTTTTCCTACACAAAGCGTAACATATGGACATTTTTTTATAGATTTGCGTGTTTATATATATATATATATATATATATATATATATAAACACAGTTAATTGTGGCAACAAAATGAAATGAGATTGCAATCTAGACTTTTCCCATCACTGGACATTTTTAATATAAATGATCTTGACTTTTCCCATTACTGGACATTTTTAATATAATGTTCTGGATTTTTCCCGTTACTGGATATTTTTAATATAAATGTTCTGTTCTTTTTCACGTTTATTTATTTTTTGTTCTTCATTATTCACAATGGAAAATTGGCAGTGTGTCTTCTCTTTACTGAAAACGTATAAGGCACATACCTCAATGCAATTTCCTCCTTTGAAGGGAATCAGTTTTTTTTCCATTATTCATTACAAACAAAAGAAAAACATCAATGACCTGCTACCAAAAAAAAAGTACCCAAAACAAGGATTGTACCTCATTGCTTTGACGCTAAACTACTTTTGATATTGTGCACGCATACAATTGAAAAATGAAAAATAAAAGGCAAGGCAGCAATAAGACTTAACACTGGCGACGACGTCTCTGTAATACTTGACGGCGGTACACATTCAGCATTTAAGAGCTCTCGAGAAGACAATATCATACAAAATCAAACACATCACTGTACAGCATTTAAAAAAAAAAATAATGTGCTGTTGGACCAGCGTCAGCGTCCTTTAAGACAAAAGTTACGTATGTGGGTAAGCACCTGAAAAAGGAGAATATAAAAACACTGTTACATTATATACACTGGTGTACCGCACCAGACAAATTCAATCATAATACTTGATTGTTTTAGCCTAGTTTTCTGATGCCATTTTTTTTTCTCCTCTCTACTTCTGCGTAAAAACATCACCTGGTAAAAACACTGACAGGAAATCTTGGCCGGGAAACTTTTTCTCTCTCTTTTTCCCCCCATCAGGGGCTACGAAAAAGCCTTCCTGAATTTGTCAAAACATGACGCAACCAGCGAATAAATATTTGAAAATCCAGCCACTGAAGCTAGTTTCACCAATCAATTTGAAATTTGGTCGAAACGTTGATCGTGAGTAGACGCCCCCCCCCCAACCCCCAAAACCCCCCTGGGGAAGACGCAGGTCGTCTGCAATTTTGGTTTGGATCAAAGCTGCCATTTCGGGGTCATTTTGGCTATTTACAGTACAGCCCTCAAAGCCAGTTGAACTTTGCAAGGTGAAATTTGGTTGGTCCATCTATCATGACAAAAAAAGTCAAGGCCCAAAAAGAAGCCATGCCCAAAAATCATCAATCATCAAGTATGTCATTTTGGTTTGAATAAAAGCATCCATTTTAGAGTCATTTTGGCTCTTTCCAGGGGACTTTCAAAGAAAATGCAGCCACTGAACCCAGTTTAACTTAAGTACAAAGTAGACATGTTGATAATCAGTCAACCCACCAAAAAAAAAAAAAAGTCTCAAAAAGCCATGCCTCAAAAGACACAGGAAAGCTTTTTTGTTTTGGTGTGAATTGAATCTGCTATTCGAGGGTCACTTTGCTATTTTGGCTATTTCCAAAGGGCCTAAAAATAATTTTAAAAAATCAGCCCCCGGAGCCAGTTTCACTTTGCAACAAGAAAGTTGGTGGGCAGTTCTATCATGAGTACACCTTTAATAAAGTCTCAACAACCCAAGCCTGAAAAGACACAGTAAGTCTGGCATTTTGGTTTGGCGATGACTGGGTGGATCAGGAATTAGTGGCTTATAACAGCAAAGGTTTCCGCTTGAATACATGCGTTATTCGGCTTCACGTGTTTTTTTTTTTCTTGCCGACGGTGTGTACAGCAAAAACAGTGACAATACGCAAGAATACTGTTGAAGAAGTGAAGTCACATTGTCATCCAAAGACAGGGCTGGGAAAACAGCCTTCATTCCCAAAAATTGGAAAAGAACCATTCTTAATTTATACCTCATTTTCGTTCCATTTATTTGCCTTCACATACACCATTTTTTTTTCCTAAGAGGAGAAAGTCAAGAAGAGAGGGGGGGGACTACTGGATAATGGCGAGGAACTTGCTCTCTTCTGCGAGGCTGCTGAGTAGGGAGCTCATGTCACCGATGGCCATGTTGTTGACGCCGGGGGCCACCACGGCCGGGAATGTGGCCGACGCACGAGGGGTGGTCAGCCGCGACGAGGTCCTGGACAGACCCTGGAAAATGGAAGGGCTCAACGGACCCGATACCAGGCTGCCTTGGTCGAAACCATCCTCCATCATGGCGCCAAAGTCCAGAGGGACGCCGTCGTCCAACGTCGCCGTGGGCACAATCCCGCCGTCTACTGTCCCACCCTCTACGGTACTGGTCACTTGGTCAGAGGCGGGAGACAGGAGGGAGATGGAGTCGCCCGGACCGCTGCCGCCATCTAAGGAGTCCAGCAAGTAGTGGTCTTCTACGGTGGAGAATGAGGCTACCTTGGGATCTGTTTGCTGGAAGGAAATGGGATCATCGAAGCGTTGTTGGAAGTATCCATGTTCTGGAGCCTCCAGTTTCAGGGAACAGAGGCTCCCACCATTGTGTTGTTGCTCCGGGATTTCAGTGCAGCTTCTGGGTAGAAGGTGGTTTCTCATCAAGTTCCGGTAAGTGTTGACGGGCGGGCGTGGGCCTTGCTGAGTGGGATGATGGACTTTATCTTGGGAGTAGCTTTGGAGATTGTCTATGGAGGGCCGAGTTATGGTGTGGCTGGAGAATCTGCTGTTGAGGTTCTGCTGGAAGTGGTTTTGCATTCTGGAAGCTTGGTATGGAAGAGGTCCGTCAGAGGCCTTGGGGAAGGGAGGTCGGGGCAAGCCATTGAGGGTGGTTCCTCTCGTCTCCATGCACGAGTTGGGGGCTGTCTCAAGCTTCACCGCCGCAGGGCCTTGCGCCTGGTCGGCCTGGGAGCAACTGTTGTGGAAACCCAGCAGCGCATTGTGATGCACCACCATGTTTCCGAACCTGCCGAAAGGCTCCGATGAGGCCTGCCCGCCGGACCACCTTGCGCAGTTGCGATCTCTCTGTGGAGAGCGGTCGGCGCTGCCAGAGCTCACTTCGTTCCACTGTATGGGAAGCAAGTTGGGGCTCCTTCTTGGGACCATCTGCTGCTGTTGGAGGCAGTGGTTGGCCTGGAAGTTCACCCCCTCCTTTCCCTCCATCGAGCGTTGCAAGCTCTCTCTTTCGCCGGAGATGATTTGGTCCTCGATGTGCACGTATGGTCCACCGTCTGCCTGGACTTGGGAACGGAGATACTGCACCATGTCATCTGGAAGTATATCTTCATCCCCGAGTAGAGAGTACGGCTCCCCGTCACCCTCCATGGCCAGAGCTTCCAAAGCGGCGTGCTCCGCGATGCTTGGGGTGTACGCGGGCTGCTGCAAGCCCCTCTGTAGGTTACCCTCGGAGCGGGTGTAATTCTGCAAGCTCAGAGTGCGCACGTCCAGGGGCGGCGACTGCTGCTGGGATAGAGGCGGAAGAGGGTGGAGGTTGCTCAGGCTGTTGAAGCGCTGCACGGGGGGCAGAACGCAAACGCCGGAAGGCTTCGTCCGCACCGGGTCGCTGGCCCTCCGGTTGCCTGCCGCAGGTCCCTCGCCCAGGTAGAAGACCCTCCTCCTGCAGGCCGAATGTCCCACAAAGCCATTGCTGGTCTCAGAGCAGCGGTGCGGACCGACGAGGGGCGGCAAAGGCTGGTTGGTGCCGCTTTCGTCCATCATGGCCATGCGGGCCTTGAGGCTCATGCGCTCCATGTTGGGTAGTGGCGTGGGCGGCGGGCCACCGGTGGCCGCGGCGTACTTGGCCTTCAGGTGGTAGTGCTGAGCGGGGGTTAAAGTGAGCATCCCTCGGGAGCCCCCTAGGTCACCGTTACCCCCCGTCCCCCCACAGACACCGCCTGAAAGTGCGCCACTGTTTGCCGCCACCCCGCCGCCGTAGTGGCTGGCTTCGCTGGAGCGGCGGGAGGCGTCGGTGGAGATGGGGTCATACGAGTCGGTGGAGCTGAGGTTGTGGCGGCGGCGGTGGTGGAGGGCGGCCGCAACGCCGTCGCTCTGTGATGTCTGGCTAGAGCGGCGGCTGGGGAAGCATGGCGAGATGCCTGAGGAACGCCGGCTGCTGCTCAGGTAGGCCGAGCTGGCGGCGCTCCCGCTGCTGTCGCGCCGGTCCCGCAGCAAGTTGAGCACCGTTAACTCGGTCGTGCCGCCCAGCTCGGGGGGAGCTGGGGGCTGAGGAGCGGCCGACACCCACTGTTTGCCCAGACAGCATCCTGAGGGGGCACACACACAGCTATGGACTTTACAACACTCGCTAATTAGCAATGTTAACCCACCAGAGGCCTGAAAGGACTCACCCTTGGCCTGGATGCCGGTGAGCACGGACCCCTTGGGGGGCGGCGGGGGAGTCAGGGGCCCCGGGCCAGGCATCGGCCCGTTCACCTGCTTCAGCCTCTCCCTCTTCAAGTGCTCCAGCCAGCGCAGGGGGCGGCCCACACCACGTCTCGCCCGCAAGGTCAGCGCAGCCGCCGTCGCCGTAGAGACGGTGGAGTCCATGACGGGCGCCGGCCCGTCCCGCTGACCAGCCTCCGCCTCGTCCTCCTCCTCGTCCGGCCCCTCCACTGGCGAGCGTCCGGCGCTCACAGTAAGCTGGACTCCACCGCTGGGATAGATGCTGACGGGGGACTGGTCACTGCTGCATGTAGACTGACCGCCAGGGCTTGGCTGAGACGTCTGGGGGGCGGGACATACCAAAGACTGACTTACTTGTGTGGCAACATCTCTTTTTGCGGCTTTAACGATGGAAGACATGGATTAGTTCTTATGGAAGTGGCAAAACTAAAAGATCCAGCCGGTGTTCCACCTGGAACCTTTCACAGTCCCTTAAGCATTTTCATGTTATGGACTCGATTTTGTTCCATTGATTCCGCCTGATTTGGAGGGAGCGGTTGGATGCACCCTGGACTGGATACTCGGCAATGGCAGGACATGTATAGACAAATAACTATCGACACTCATATTCACACCTATGCACATTTTAAAACGCTTCAGTCAATATAACGTGCGGGAGGAAGCCGGAGAACGTGCAAGCACAAACAGACGTGTCATCCCGTTCACGTTTATTGGGCGACAAATACGTCCGCCATCCACACCTTGGCACTGTTGTGCAGAGCGGAATGCAGCAAACCACAGGGCGAGCAACCTTCTTCACGAGCTTCAGTGAAGGCAAGGCCAACATGAATGAAAACGTCACATTTGTGATGAGATGAGTCACGAGACTGTGAAAGAAGAGGATGCCTGTCTCACCTGATTACCCACTGTCCTTAGAAGACAACAAGCGCAATGCCAAGCATCGGATAGAAGAGAACATGCACTTGTTAGAAGACTTTTAGGGCTTATTCGGGTTCCCCCCCGGTGCGGTTCGTGTTCTTTTTGCATATTTGTACTTGGCAAAAGGCCAGCAGGTTTTGGATGCTGCCACCTGACAACTGAACCACAGCAAGGGGGAAACCAACTGGAGTTGCATTAAAAGCGACGACTATGTCAATGCCTGAGTTCGAGTCTCACCATGGGCTTCTCCGTCTTGATGGACTTGACCTGCAGACAGTCGTCCTGCTTAGAGGTAACGTGGTTGCTATACTCCCTTTGGTCCGCGTAGCCTCCCAGGCCCAGCTGCCCTGGCGAGTGTCCCTGGCCGTTGGCGCCCGGCTCGCGGGGCTGCGCGGGGGGCCGCGGGTAGTCGCCGCGCTGCTTCTTGGTGACGTGCGCTTCGGGCCCGTGCACCGTCTTCACGTGCTTGCGCAGGGAGCTGGGGTCCGTGTAGCGCTTGGTGCAGCCGGGGATCTTGCACACATAGGGTTTCTGCCAATAAATAAAACCAGAATACAACGTATTCAAACGTGCTCCACTGTGAGACAAAGCGAGATGTGCGCGGTCGGGGACGGTGGACCGGCTGCATGAGGCGCACGCTGAACTGCGATATAAGAGAAGGAACACGAAGGCGATGCTCACTCAGCGTACCTCGTTTGAGTGCGTGCGGTTTTGATGCTTGGCTCGGTCCGAGGCGTTGGAGAAGGCCTTGTTGCAGCCTTCGTGCTCGCACACGTACGGCTTCTCGCCCGTGTGCGAGCGCAAGTGAGTCTTGAGATTCTCCAGACGGGAATAAGCCTTGGCGCAGCCCTCAAACTGGAATGGAAGCCAGACCGCATCCATCTTACACTTTCTTTCGGTGTCAAGGAAACACGTCACAAGGAGTCAGTCAGTTGAGCGTTACCGTGCACTTGTGAGGCTTTTCGCCGGTGTGTCGCCGCATGTGGACCACCAGCATGTACTGGGCCTTGAAGGGCTTCTGCTCCCTGGAGCATTCCTCCCAGCGACACACAAACTCCTTCTTCTCGCCGTGGATGTGGTCGTTGTTGATGTGCTGCAAACACAGACGAACATGTTTCAGCCGAGGGAAGGTTTTCATCTCGAAATTTGTTTTTTTTGTGTTTTGTTTTGTTTTTTTTTTTGCTGTAAGTCTGCGCAAGTTTAGTGGGAACAAGTGTTGATGAGTGGAGGAGCATCATGGGAATTACACAACAGCGTTCACAGATTTTGGAACTCTGCATACACAAGGCGAACTGTCCATCTTGGTGATAAAAAAAAAAAAAAAAGTGCTTTTAAATGCATCTTATGGTGGTGACAAAACCGCAAGTGTTGACCTCAGCAGTCAATCCGAGTGGCCTGAAGACAAAAAACAAGCGCTTCTTGGAGTTGGCAGGGTCACATCCGGACTGGGGAGGCCGCTATCCCTTGACAATGGTATCTTTGACCCGCCCCCCCTTGGCCCAACTCTGACCCACCAAGCCTCCGACTTTGGCAACAGTGGTAGAACAACTGGGCTCATTGGAAAGTGGCCCCCCCATTACTCTCACTTGGCACTTTTTTCATTTTAAAGTGACAAAACAAGACTAATCCTGTGGAAAATGATTGTGTGGTCGATGAGCGTTAGTGAAGTCCCCCCCAGCCCCCACATCCTCGCCTCCTGAGATTGATCTCCTCGGTCGGAGGGCCTTTAGCCGCCGCTTTGCGAGGGAATCCCTGCAGCGAGCGATGGTTCTGTCTGCCTGGCCGCTCGATATCCTCCCGAGAGCGATGGACGGGACGGCGCGTCGGAGTGGCGGACGGATCCGCGCCGGCGCGGGTTTGTACAAATGAACGAGGCGCTTGACGGATGTGATGCATGAGCCGGCCGACTGACAGCGAGAGGGGAAAGCTAATGGCAATTCTTATTGGATCAATAATCTCCATGCTGAGGAGAGCCGGCTACATCGACAAACAGGTGCTGATAGCGGCGGCGCGGTGCTTATTCATCTTCCCGCTGCCAGCTTATCGGACCACGACTGTAAAAACGCCACCAAGATGGATTTAGGAGGGGAGGCGGCTGACAGGGAGCGCATACGGGAGGGGATGCCGAGGTCGCGTGTGCACATGCAGCCGCTGCTTTCACCAACGTTCATTGAGCCAGGGCAACACAGGCGAAACGCCGCACGTCACAGACTCCCGCCCCACAAATTTTTGATAATTACCTTTATGGTGGCACCTTGACTTTCGAGTTGAATTGGGTCCAAGGCCATGCTGAATACCAACGAGCTTCAAGCTGTTTCATGCCTCCACTGGAAGTTTCCCATAAAACTAAACGTGGAACAATGGCAATTTCTCATTGTGTATTTAACCAAACCAAAGGACTTTGTCTTAAAAAGTCGAATGCTAACAGGCTAACAAAACTAGCATTAAAGTCGCTAAACCATACAATAAACTTCTAAACAGCTAATATTTGAACTCAGCAATGCAGCAACACATGTAGAAAGGCAAAATAACAATACTCTTTGGGCATATATTCTTTCTCCTCTGCGACGAATAGCCTACCAGTACATCTTAGTTGCGACACTTATGTTGCAACATCAAATCTTTGTGGTTTAAAGACGGTGGCGACACAATACTTTTACATTCGGCAGCACAATGAAGCACCTCCACTCACTTCTACGTAGTTCCTTGACAACAAGATGCCACGAGATGACGCCAAAGCACTGCTTTCATTTTACACAAGGCTTTGATTTGTGATGAGCGAATCGCAAATGTGGGTGAACACGGTACAAGCTTCATACTGTACAACAACTTTGTCTGTCGGTCATGCGACTGACGTGATTGTGCGGGCTCACCGTACACCAGCTGGGGAATAAAACGGCCCAATGGATGAAATAGCGGGCTGCACAAACCGTAACCGATTCCCGCATCCTGAATGAAGTCTCGGCGGGACACGGCCCTTCATGCATGAAAATGTTTACACGGCAACCCCCCCCCC